GTTCAATTTATTTCTGTACTGGTTCATAAGTAAACATGACCTGGTACAATGTGACATAATAATTACAGTATGGGAAATGCAAATATTACCTTTATACACCTTTATACAGTGAACAGATGTACTACAAAGAATACTAATAAAATAATAAAATATTCTAACTAAATGGCGAGATACAACCCCGTGGTGTGTTTACATATTTATCATAAATTAATTCATAAACAATAATAAATCAATTCATAATAATGTGAATCGGTGCCCCTGCCCCTTTTTCCATTCGGCAAGCATATCTCCAATCTGTCCTATTTACTGTACTATTTGCTGTTAATCAAGTGACACACCTAATAAGTAGATACTTAAATAGCTTGCAACGTTTAGGGCTCCTGGGAGAAAAAAATCCGATATTTTCTCACTGTCAGTCTGGACAGTCATTGGAATTTTTTCCCCGTATTACTAGTTTATGTACATGTACTACAAATCCGTTCACAGATTTTCTTGTTTGCCCAGATACAACAAAGAGTATGGTTTTGAAGAACGAAAAAAAAACTGAAATGATGGTACCGATCTTTCCACCAGATCTTTCTGATTTCGAAAAATGCACCCATACTATCATTTATTACATGCAGCAATATCTTGTAAGTACTAGGCACATAGGTACAACGTGAACAACCAAGCAATGTTTTAAAAACACTTTCAATGGTGCATCTGTAAAATTTATATGAAATCAATCTATTTACAGAAAAACTTTAAGCTTTCAAAAAGGAAAAAGAAAAGGAAAAAAGAAAACTTTGAACTTTCTCCAGTTGCTGGTCTATATGATTATGTCATGTCAAGTTAGGTACAGGTAACTTCCCGTGACAAATACATGTGGATACCTTCTAAGTCATACTGGCGGAAATTAAATAAGCCCTTTAAATAAGAGATTACATAAGAGCACTCAGCTTTTAGATTGATGTCTGCTCCTTTGAGGTCTGTCTTTAGCTCTTGTTTATAAGGTTGTGCTGTATCCTATTATATTCTATTATATACTGTTCTGATGACCCGTGGGGTTGACAGATTAGATAAAATGAAACAAAAAACCGTAGGCGGAAAGGTCTTCTGGATCAGGTTTAGTTCAGAAAATCGCTTTGGCTGTTGTTTGAATCATCAAATTATCAAAGCAATTAAAGGTGCGACAATTATCGCATAGTTCTCCAATGAATAATGATAAAAATGATAATAACAGATTGACAGAAGCACTTCAATGAAACATCCGCATATAAACGATACTGTTACCTTTCCGATATATCATCGCTAATACAAAATGATATAAATCAATTATTTATGACTTATATTGCAAAGGAACTAATACACTTTACCTTCATTAACACTGATGGACGAGACAGCATTAACACTGAAGTGGGCTTTTTAGCAATTACCATTTTATTTTTAGTTGGGTCCATTACTGTTTTCTGATATTCTATTACATATGATAGTCTAACATGACGTACATGTAGGTGATTCTTTTGTGCCAAATTGACGTAGGTTAAGAATTGATTTTTTATTATTAAACGATTTCACATTTGAAACATTTGTTTCGGATTGGTGATGTAAAAAGGACAGAGATATATCACCTACTGTGATTTACGGTTGAAAAATATTTGGAAAACGTCTGAATCAAAGTTAAGAGGGGTTGGAAAATGAGACGATAACAATGTTCTTTTTCAATACATGGCAGATCAAAGATAAAGCCATCAAGGCCTTTGCATCCTTCGGTTGTTTCAAGTGAATCGCCACTGGTCATCATCAGAAATCTTTTGGCATTTTAAATGGACTTTTTTAATGGTGTATAATTTATTCCAACATTAAGAGCTGCTTAGATGAGCAATATCAATCATTAATCCTGAATTGGACACTGGGGCTTGGATCGATTTCAAATTTCAGTTTTGGATTGATGATCTAGATTTTGAAAACTAAAAAAATAAATAAAAAAACAGTAAGGCCTATTCATTACTGGCCTAAGCTTAATTTCCTTTGCCATACATCATGATTTTAAACTAAAATTAATTCACAAAGATGCTTGAGTCACGTCAGTGTCGTACGCACCTTGTGTGATATTTCTATAACTATTTTATATCACTTTTTTATAACTGTGGCTTTCTATCCACATAGGAGGATACTAATGGGACAAATTCACTTTTTTGTGGAATGGTCCTTAGAAAAAATAAACTTGAATATGAAATTGGCTAATTATACCAAGCAGCCACAGAAGAGCCACAAACAGAACGCAAGATAGCAATGACGTTAAAGATGCATACAAAGCCAATTTTTGTCACAAAAACCAACCAAATGCCAGCATATAGTTTCAAGTAGTATAACTAAGAGAATTACCAAAAGGCATTGTTTAATTTTACCCGAAAATGATGTTTGAACGGATTTTTCTGCTGGCATTCTAAGCTGTATGTCAATGGGGCAGGAAAGTAGGTCACGAAAGAAGGTTAAATTTACAACCAAAAATTTAAAGAAAGGAGCAGTCTAAAGGTCTTTTATGGCTGATCGTGTGATCTATTCAGTTTATCCCTTGGCATGTCGAATTCATTTGAGTCAAATAAGAATATAGTAGAAGTGGTTTACATGTGTTACTGGGAATCCACGCTCCACCGATGTTCGGTTCGTATGTACTTTTAAGTGTTCGAGGAAAACAAAGTACATGTATACTGCACATAGAGAGAATTGCTATTTGTAATGAAGGCCTAAAAATCGTTGACGCCATGGAGCCTGTGTGGTTTTTGATCTGAATATAATCAAAATATCATATTCTACTTTCTGAAACTCTTCTGTGAAGCACGCTTTACATAAGCCTACTGTACATTTCCAAGCATAATGTCTACAGATTAGGGCCGACACCACGGAAACAACGGTGAGTCAATAAATGCGCAAATCTCTTGTCACCGGATACTCTTGTATCATTTTCTAAGCGACAGTTTGTGAACGAAAGGTGTTCACACAAGATCGTGACGGGAGCAAAATAGGCCTGAATCTGTCGCTCTTGGCTGATTATGTTACATTTTTTCGGGAAAGGGGAGGCATTTTGTAATCGCGTCTCTGACCTTGAAAGTTGTCGCCTTTGTTGTTTTTGATAAAATTGTTCCTTGTAATTCAAAACAAAAGAAAAGGCCTATGTGATACAGTTTTTTTTTTTTTTTTTTTTTTTGACAAAACAGAGATATGAAATTTCCAGTAATTGGGGAAAAATGCACTAAATGCAATTTAAAAAAGTCGTTCCTTTTCTGTGTATAGGTAAATATCACGTGTGACACTTTTTGGTGCAGTGACTGGGCCTTAAAAGTTAATTTTTAAGTCGTTTTGTGCACTGCATGTTCTTATTGTCGTCTTGGACATATATGATAAATATTTGTTGGGAACAATGCAGTTTTGTTCCCCGAGGCTACATATGTATAACCTTTGTTTTAAAGATCGAAATTAAGGAACGTTGAAAAAAGGACGCAAAGCGCCAGGTGCACCTCCATTAATAAAAACAACTTAACGGCCCTATGCGATTCACTCTAACCAAGACTCATTGAGAAGTTTCGTAATGTTGTCATTGCCAATAACTTTGCAAATTCATAAACAGACAGAAACCTGCATGAGACATAAAAACACAAAAATACTAAATTAGCACAGTGTGAAATGGATCAGTCAGTGCATAAGTCGCTTATCTAACTGTCCTACTGGGATTTCCCAACGCTATATATATATGCACTAGTCGAGTGCTGATATCAATGACAATTAATTCAGTAGGTGTTGTTGCACATTTTAGTAGGATATCGCTGTCATGAGGGAACATAATTTTATCTGGGGTGAGCAGTGAGTATGTGCTCTTTCATCAATGAAAACCACACTTTCATGTCACGCTGAAGAGTCCCCCTGGAATGTACAATTCGCGTTATGAAATCTAAGTTGACACCTTTTTTTTTCTGAGTAGAGGTAGCTAGATGTTGTGAAGTCAAATGTGAATGACAGGACAGGGAGATCTTTGTGATATTGTTCATCATACTTGAGATATACTCGCTTAAACATTGTCATAAGCCTATTATTACGAGTATTTTCAAATGTTTTGCGTGGAAAATATGATATCCGTGGATTGATGCTTTATATTAGATTTAAGGTTTACTGCGTTTTATATTACTAAGAATTGAGTGGAAATAGTATGTTACATGTATTTCTTACCAAATGAAGGAAATTCGCTGTTCTTTTTGCACCTCTTTCAAGGTAATTTCCCCGTTGTCTTTACGTATGCATTTCCGAACTCTTTTCCTCTTCCTATTTTTTCCGTCCACCAACATACCAGCAGGAGAAAGTAAACGTTATGGGTAGTTTCTTAATATCAAGAATGGGTTTTACGGATAAACAGTTTGGCACACTCGGTCATAAAATCTCTTCAAATTACTTCATTTCAGTGGCGATTCGAGCAGTCAACATCAGCAAAAATTTGACGATCCAAGAGTTCGTCATGACGACGTATCAGACGATAGAAGCAACGGAAGTCAACCAACAATTCATATCCCTTCCTCCCTTTCTCACGCACGTGAACGATTCGAGATGTCCGAGCGACACCATAGCGCTGACCAAAGGGAGCAGTGCGTTCGTTGAAAACGTGACCGTCACATGGAAGGCGCCTTTGAGTGACCAACGTGATCCAAGTGACCAAAAGTGCGTCACGTTTAGGTATGGAATGGAAGAGACACGTGATATGCCGATGACGGTTAAGCGGTGCGCGCTGGTACCATTTCTGGGTTTCGTTTCTAGCCTCGTTTTCTTTCCATGTAATTCAACTCAATTATGTATGAAATTATAAAAATTTTTCTTAGCTTGCAAACTCATTTGAATTCACTTGAAATGTCATCTTTCTGATGGACTTAAGATAATTATTGTATAAAGTCCTGATAATTGCAGCAACATTTGATACTCACCACAAAGGCTTAGAGAGAACCCACAAAGTGTAAATGATCACAAAGCTCCTTATGACGGACAAGGAAAAGCTTAGTATGCATAAAGCATTATAACAGAAAAATGACTAAAGTGTAATTCCTTTAAACGAGTTGTCTCGTTCAAACATGCAATGAAATGAATGAAAGTTGACTTTCTGAGATGCCATAACTCAGCGACATGCAACTTAAGAGCCTTTTAACGGGCAAAAAGTAATGAATCAAGACGCTGTCGTCCGATATTATCCAACATCTCTCCGACTCTTGTTCAATCTTAATTTGATATGGTTTAAATTTCAGGGCTGTGGCGGTTGTAGAAGAAAAATGGCACCATCTCCAAAAGAACATATGTCTAAATACAGGTACACTTAGAAATATTTGGCACAGCCCTTTATTTCCCCGAAAGAATAATTATTTATCCATCCCACTTTGTAGAAAGCGTAGTCACCTAGGATGTAAAACTACATGCATTAGTAAATTAATCTTTTAGTGAATATTCTTCTTATTTGAATTGTATTCCAGGTTGTGACCAGTATCTTACGCAGCAGAATGGTAGTATAGTGTCTCCGGGTTTTCCTGCGTTCTACCCAGACAATATACACTGCAGAGTCGTTATTCGTGTTCTTGATGGATTCAATATATTTCTTCAGGTTTGGCTATATCTCATTGGTGTCCGTCCTGTGCTATCATATAATATCTATTTAAACAACGCCTCACGCGCCCGCTGCCGAGTTCTCTCTCAATGGATGGCAATTTTAAAAGGAGAAAACCTGAATGTTTATTATTCATTTAAGTTCTGACTCAGTCAAGTTAAGATTTCACATAACAGAGTCATCTTTAATCGTATCGCGCTAGCTTTATATACCAAAATGTCCGAATTAAATTTTTTGACATTTTTCCATTAACAAATGACCCCCAACCCCAGATACTGATATCTCAATATTCTATTCAATAACTTAAATAGTTCCAGGCGTTTGATCTAGAGCCATCTTACAAAGGTGTTTGTTATGACTACCTGATGGTCAGCTTACCTGACGGGAAAAACTTAACCAGTGGTGACCCCCGCCCACTCTGCGGCACACGAAGTGGACAACAGCAGTTGGAGGAGATGTTTTTTGAGTCTCCAGACAATACACTGGAACTGTGGTTTATAACGGATCGGAAGCTGTCTGGTTTGGGATATAAGGCAATGTATTATAGTCTACACCAAGCTACAGGTACATAGACTATGTTGCCTGTATGATTGTTTTTATGTTCTTCCAGGGGGTCTTTCTTCTTCTGTTGATTTTATTTACTCTACTATTTTTGTTTGTTTGTTTGTTTGTTTTCTTAGGCTGTATATTTTTGCGCATATCTTTATATCTTTTTTCTTCTCTCTAGCACTATTGTCTAGCACTATTTTACCAATCTGCTTTACCTGCTTCCACAAAAGTCTTTTAACGTTAAAACGTTAACGAAAACATAACATTTTTGGCAAGTAAGTCATACTTTTATTTTATTATTGATGAATTCATTTTGATGGTGTATTTGGTATTATCATGAATGCGTAATCAACCAGCCATCGATTTATTCATATATTTTCACTTGTTTATCTACACTGCCTGTCCAACTTTCAGGCTGTTACCAGGAATTCCTGGAAAGCTCAGGTGTAGTTCACAGTTCAAACTACCCAGGGAATTATTTTCCTAGAATGAACTGCAGCTATGTCATAAGGGGCCGGCAAGACCACCAGATATACTTGCAGATACAGGATCTCAACATACCTCGTGGAGTAACGCCACAGGGCGCGACAAACTGTGATCAAGGCTTTCTCGTGATAAAAATCTGTGAATTAAAGAGAGAGTACACGTTATGTGGAAACAATTCTCAAATCGAACACTACAACCTTCATTTTCAATCCACCGGTGGAGATATACATCTTAGGTTTGTGTCGGATTATTCATCCGTAGGGCGTGGCTTCTATGCAACGTATAATTCAACACCGGTGTGTCAAAACCAGACGTTCTACGGAGCATCAGGGGTTGTCACTAGTTGGGGTTATCCACAAAACTATACTAACAATGCAGACTGTTTTTATATCATCAATAATGAAGGTGCTCCAACCCATGTTACAGAATTGCAATTCGTAGAACTGGACCTTCAGAGAGGCACGTATATCTCAGGCAACCAAGTCAACTGTGATAAAGACTATATTGAAATCTATTCAGGACGCGACGTGAGACAAATCTGCGGTCAAAAGGACGGAGTCGAAAATTTGCTCAAATTTTATTCAGACGGGCCACAGATGGTGCTTCGTTTGGTCTCTGATGCGCAGATCTCTGGGCGTGGATTCGTCGCAAAGTGGAGGACTGTGGAACACTCTGGTGAAGTGGAACCATGCCCGACATATTGGATGGAACATGGGGAATACTGTTACAATGTTTCAAATGTAAAACGAAAGTGGGTTGAAGCCGAGGAAGACTGTAAAAGAAAACGCGGACATTTAGCATTTCTTGTGGGCCAGATGTTGGACATGTTTGTGAACAAATACGTGTTAAACAGGTAACACATTCCATTGTGTTCATTTCATTTGTGGTCGAGTCAGGTGAGTTTGAATGAAAAAGATCTTTGGACTAGTTCCAAGAATAAGACGCTTTGTTTGCTCCTACATGCTACGTACTGAGCAGGCGTGGGTGAAGATGTTTACTCTGCACTGGAGTATCCAGAGTTTTGCTAAGGGTGGGGAGAAGGTAAAATATTTTTTTCTGGCTCACTTCGACCGGCAAACATTGCACCCAGTAATAGACGTAAAAATTTACCATAATATGAAAAGAATGGAAAATTGTAGTTTCATTTTGTCTCGTTTGTATACAGTTTTACTGTGCACGAAAATAACAAGAGAGAAAAGAAATATTCCATAGCATGTGAGCATTTTTGCCCCTTCCTTTGGAAATTCAATTTCAGGTTAATGTAAATCCAATTTTGGTAATTTGATTTATTTTATGTTTGCAGTATGTTGCAGTCTTTTTTTATATTATGCGCGGCTTGAGTTTGATTCTGTCATTGTGTTACATGCATAAATGATAACATATTGATTTTGAAAATGTGTTGGATGTTACAAACATAAATCACGAAATTCTGTTTCAGTAAGTAGGAGATCATTTTTAAAGGAGACAGTACATCAAGTTTGAAAGTGCATGTGTGCGTTCACACGTGTTTCACATTACATTTGATATATATTTGATGTGATAATGTATTTTTTTGCTTAAAAGTGATTGGATGGGAGATCTGTTTTATATATTTTAGTTTTATATCTTATATTTAGGTCTACACACACTCCTTTGTCTGGCTACTGGGTTGGTGGCAATGACCAGAAAAGCGAGCAGGACTTCCAGTGGACTGCAGGTTTACCATGGAATTATACCAGTAAGTCACCAGAATTCACAAAAAAAAAAGATAAATAAACTTTTGAACTATGAGCAACAGTCAATACATAAATGGGATCACTGTGAAGTGGATCAACACTGTTTGTCAAAGTTTGGTCTTAATTTCTTGACCTCAAATCAATATCTATTTAACGATGGACAGTTCCATAGGGTATGTGATATCAGTAAACGGGTAGAGTTTCATTTGACAATAGCACTAGGAAAATTAACTGAGATTTGCCAGCTTATATTTCGTCTTCTGACAGTCGTGGGGTGGGGGTGTGACTGGACCAGCACACCTGAGAGGTGATAGGTTGTAATATCATCACAACCTTCATTTCCCTGATGAGGTCTGAGTGTCAGGTGTAATATGTCGATATCTCATAAGTAAAACGCATTTAACGCACTGCCTTAATTGTATTACACACCCTTATCGTCAACCATGTCAATTTTCCTGGTGACATCTGACTTAACTGCGTACATGTAGTTAAGGCGTGCACCACGGTCACTATCTTACACCATTTTTACAAAGCAGTTGAACTGAGCAGAATTTAAAAGCAGAAGCGCATGGGGTGCTGAATAAAACAACGAAAAAGAATTTTTTGTTCTGTAAGTGTTTAATTTTATTGCAATGGTATCTAGATATTTTATGATTTAAGTATTTTATATTTAAAAAAATGGGAAAAGCTATTTTGACCAAGTTTGTCCACGTATCGATATTGCTAAATCGAGGAACCCCTTTTAAAACCGCTAGCTAATGATAAGACTAAGACCCCATTCCCACAGGTTTTAGATTGATCTATCCCTGTGGGGAGTCTCACTAGATTACTGTCAGCTTAGCCGGCTTAAGCGTCTGTCCCGCCTACTAAAAGCTGTAAGGGGGTAATAATCTACCGTGCGCGCTCGGCTAACATCAATTTAGCGTGAACCCCCAGGGAGTTAGGTCGATCTAGATCGATGGACGTCTTTTCAACTCTAAGACCCCATTCCCATAGACACCATTGGTCTACTTATATCGACCCAACTCTGCGGGGACTCTCGTTAAGTGTTATCAGTTTAACTGAATGAAATACTATTTCGACTGATTAAAATTATGGAATTTTATTTTGGCCAAAAAAAGAATGTTCTTCAACCCTAAATGAAATAAGAACATGGTTCATACGAGTTCAGTGTTGTGCCACCGATAGTAATACAATGTACATGAAACTGTAAGCTCTGAAGTGGAATTCCATACTACCCACCAGTATTCTCATACTAGAGTATAGTTCATTAACCTAATGAAATCGCGTTGTTCGGGTTGAGAACTCTGACGGGGTTATAGACAAAAGCTCTTAGTGTAAATCACTGTCTTTGTGTATACTCTATACTAAAAGCCACCTGAGTGATTAAATTAATTCCATGCAAAAATCCTGGCTGTACAGTAGAATGAAATGCATACATGTATCTAGATCTGTGAATATCTAGTAAAAAATCGGTCTGTTTTTGAAATAAAGGGAAAATAAAGATGCATGTCAGAAGAATAAGAATAACGATGTCCGCCGTTTTATTACCCATCGGCGTGATTATCCACCGCCATTGTTTTGCAGCCATAAGATATTGACATCAAGATAAATAACAGTTTAACACGATTTTGCCCCTACTCTTTATCATTCAATAAAAATACCTCTAAATATGGATTGTCACAACCTTCTTCCAGGGCGACAGATTGATTTTTCACAAGATATAGCTTTAGTAAATTGACAGTCATTTGATTTGCCTATAATATCAGCCACCCTAGTAGATGGTACAAATGTAGATTGTCACTATCTTTATTATCAAAATTCTATTTACGTTCAAAGCACGTGCTCGTCTTGTGCATTGCGTTCTGTGCGCGTAAAATGTCGTTAATTATATATATATATATATATATATATATATATATATATATATATATATATACTAAAGAAGTAAAAATGAGGTAACAATGCTTCTGTTAAATATCGTTATGGCGATAGGTTGCGTCTTTTCAACTGCTTTCTATTTAATGAAATGTACAGCACCGAAATGTCTACCACGTCCTCCTGCCTGAAGCCAGTTCAAACCTGTTATGTGCGGCGTTAACGAGATATCTGCACATGTACATATACAGGATGACGTTGCTGAAATTACAACTGGCAATAACGCAACGGAAGAGATTGCATATTTTCACCTCCCACCCCCCAATCAATATCATTTTACAGAGGACGTCACAATGGCAATTTGCAGGAAGCAATGGCAAGATCTGCTTCTCAAATTTCTCTTTCCTGAGCACCAAGGATCACCTGTCAAACACACCTGCTAGTGCATTGATGATGTCATTGTGAACACGCCCCATCTGTCAATCATTTTGCCAGCAGTGACGTTATGCCTGTGTCACCAAACCCATTATAGAGGTGCATTTCACGTGCTTAAAGTATCAAAAAATAAAACTAAAATAAAATTCGAAGTTGTGTATCCAATTTTTAAAAACATAAATGTGTTTAGAACAAAATTCCACATCTGTCTCAATTTTACATCTATATTAAATTTTTATCTGTATTATCTGGTAACGTATGTTCCGGGCCATATAATTCAAATTTTTATATCGCCTTCCGATATATTTTGTAGTGATTCAGTCATGGTTAATTATATATGACGTAAGGATGTTTTATAAATAAATAAATTATTAAACTGTAACTCAAGGGGATTAGTTTCATGTCTAATAATATGTAACGTACCGTATGTTCCTAAAAAAATTGCCAGAAAGTTTCGTCTTGCCCAAGTACTTGGTGCAATAGGAAACAGGGTTTTCTGTTGCTGACTGAAAAATATTTTGTGATAGTTCGACATTTCTGATATAATATTTGGACTGCGAATGGCAAATACACGTGGTTTATTTAATGATTATTTTACTGTCAGTAGGGTGTATTCCCCCTTTTTTAATATTCAGTGAGAAGCAAACAAAGTCGCTCAAAAAATTAGCTGGTCTTTACAGAATATTATCGTATTTTTTTACAATGTTATACTTGTAGGAGATAAACAAAAGAACAAAACCAGTGATGATTGAATTTTCAAAGTGGGTATTACGTTTCCACAGCTGGACGTTTTGCAATTTTGACAGTAACGTTTGTACCTTTTTGGGGTTAGGCGATGAATCATTTTTTATTATTCATAGTTCCAGGAGAGTGAGATTTGATACAAACTTAAACTAGAATAATCATACATAGTTTGTAATATGTGCACTTAATATTTTTGAGAGCATACCAGCTGTGACCACTGCACGAAAAAAAAAAACTACATGCCCTTGTTTAGATTCTCTTAGCTTTATTAATTCATTGCCACGCCACATTGCATTAGTCTGTCTGTCATTATATACTGCACCTGGTGACTTGCCCCACATAAATTCTTGTCTTCAGATTCGATTATTCCAAGCTTGTGCAATATGGAGAAAATTCCAAATTTCTCTCTCCTTCACAGTGATTTCCTATAGCTTATCCCACGTGATTAACGAAAGAAATAAAATCTGGCAAATTGTTCTTTTCTCTCGGTTTTTGAGCTGATTATCATGGAAAAAATTAAAATTTCTGTCTTTCAGATTGGTTTCCAGGCTGGTCCAACATGGAGAATGCATACAGCGAGCCGAGTGATGATGGTCTGTCTGACGAGGACTGTGTGGAACTGAGACAGAGTTTCTACTTTCCCTGGAAAGGATTTGTTCTCGTAGACAAGCTGTACTGGAACGACAGGTCTTGCCAGACGCAAAATTTCTACATCTGCCAGAAACCTAAGTATGGAGGTAAGTTTTTTCAGTTTTATGCCTTATAGGTCATTTCATTATTATGATGTGATCTTTTATTTGACATTTTGCAGGTATGAACCAACTTAAGTGTCAAGAAAAAATCATATAAAAAAACAGGTAGCCTAAAACAAATAGAATAATTATATATATATAATTATCATGTCATTTTCCTTGTAGATTTTTTAATGTTTAATGTAAAACGATGTATCAAGGACTGAATGCAAAGATTATCAATATTACTGTAAGTTTTCAGTGATTAATACTTGACAGGTCCATAGGCAGAGGGTTGAAAAAAGTTATTGTTGAAAATGTATTTCCTCTATATACACGTGTACCACATATATGTTTTGTAAGTTATCCATTAGTCTGTGTCTAGACAGTATGTGAGACAGAAAACTTACAAAGGAACTTATGTCAGAGGCATACATGGATAGGGTTTCAGGTCTTTTTTATTCTCTTAGACATCTTGAACAAATATGTGCATTAGTATAATGTATACAACTGTGACATATATCTTATTGAGTAATTACTATAGTGTTGGTGAGGACCCTAAATTGTGCAGTGTGTATAATAATAATAATAATAATAATAATAATAATAATGATGATCACAATGACGATGAAATAAATCATTTCTAAAGAGACAAAACATGTTCAGGTCATGTACCTACACATAATTAAGAGACATGACATTTCCAATCCAAATCTGTGGGGACTCTCAGTGAATGCCATCAGATTGTGAGATTAACAGGTGCATGAACTCCTATTCGCAAGCATTGAGTAGATTAGAGAAAACCTGGTGATGATACCTGTACATCAGAGTGTTGGAAACAAGAGAAGGTGTTTCATTTAGTTCATGTANGAAGACATGACATTTCCAATCCAAATCTGTGGGGACTGTCAGTGAATGCCATCAGATTGTGAGATTAACAGGTACTGTACATGAACTCCTATTCCATGCAAGCATTGAGTAGATTAGAGAAAACCTGGTGATGATACCTGTACATCAGTGTGTTGGAAACAAGAGAAGGTGTTTCATTTAGTTCATTACATTGCATTCATTCAATCCATGTTGAACAACAGTTTAAGTGGGAATTTAAAATGGGCCTTAAGACTAGCGGTCACGATCAACTGGTTGGATCAGATGTGTTAATATGGGATGGTTTCTAAACCTGCATATACATGTAGCAGGGGCGGATCCAGAGATATTTTCTGACAGTCTTCCAAATTATCTTTGTTGATCCATCTTCCATTTTTGACCGTCTTCCGACAGAAAACATTAGTTGGCTGACAATGTAAACTTGAAAATCTGACCGTCTTCCAGAAGACGGCCTAAATTCGCCCCTGTGTAGCCACATACAGTCCTTCCAACAATTCACCAAATTACCTGAATTGAACTTTTTCATCCTATAACAGGTACTGCTCTTCAAGATAAACCGTAAATAGGTCCTTCTTTTCTTGTTTGATGAATTATTCAATACATTTAAATAAATCAAGACATTTACCCCAAAGAAAGAAATCCTGCCAAGGTAATTCTACTTTTTTTTCTATTTATCAGCTAAAGAATTATTGATTACTTCAGAATGTAATTGTCATAAAGTAATATCTCTGTTAAGGAAATTTTTAAAACTACAACCTGTTTTAAATTCAGGTTTTATTAATAAAAATTTAAAAATAACTGTTATAGTGAAATTGTGTCCCTTTCAAAAAGAAAAAAAAAATTTTTTCTAATTTACATGAAGCAGAGATCATAAAAATAATCAGTTGCCAAATTTTAATACTTTTATTGACAAAACAATATGCATGATCATGCAATTTTGAATCCTTACTTAATCACTACACAGCTATAGCCTCAATATGTTTCATTTCCAGTGTTTAATTCCAAGTGTATACATAAATGTGTAGATTTATAAATTATAATACTAGTACATACATGTGCCAGTACAAACACGCATATATACACATCATTCTACAAAAAAAAAAAAAAAAAA